TCACACGCAGATTTGTCCCGTAAAGCATGCAGTGTGTGTGAAAACGAACGCCCACGAATACGGTTCTATAAACTAAAATAGTTCATCTAATTAAGAATAGAATAAGAATTAATTACTTAATTACTGTATTCGTTTTCTTCTAATTAAAAACTTGCGGTTAATTTTTGTATATTATACAGATTTCTTTGAAATTCTTACTGTTGTAATTTCATTTTTGATATTTTTTCTTAAAAAAATTAACACTAAAAACTGAATAAAGAGTCATTAAGTAAGAGATAAAAATAATTTATATCATTCAAATATATGCTCAATTCAGATGTTATTAAAATATGCAATTTTAAGACAAAGAATATAAAAAATAATCGCTTTGAGTCAGGCACTGTTGCTTTTTATTTTAATGCAAATATTCTGAGTGGATTCGTTACCCACTCCACGAGAGGAGTGAATAACGAGGGTGACACCCGATCTTCTCCACTTGTGTGCGGGCACTCTGTTTTTTTTTAAATTAATGTGTATCAAATTTTTCGTTCAACCCATCAGGTTTTTGTTGTTGCTCTTTGTACCAACAGGGCTGCAGTTATAAAACCGATAAAACCTGTTCAGTAAAAATTAACATTTTTACAATACAACGTAACAATTGAAATTAAAATTAATGTTCAGGTACATTACAATTTATACGACTTGCTCATGGGAATTCTATTATTGTGTAGGCATTAAGAATTTTTTTTTTAATTTTTATAAAATTTCATTAAAAAATATTAATCAATTAAATTATCTGTAGGTCTAGCTGGCTTTTATTTTGGCGACTTCATATTATTATTTGAGTTCTGCAGATGTTCTTTTTGTGATTTTGATGTCAAGCATCAATTAATGATGTGCGAATGCGCCAGGCAAATATTATATTAACATCATTTTTTGCCACTGTTGTCCTGAGCAGCAAATCACAAAAGTGGGACATCAGCGAAAAGGGAAGAGCACCAGAGACGCGAGAATGACACCTGAGAGTTCAAATCAAGTGACAATTCCTTCGTGCACGTTGTTGGAGTTAATATTCAATTTCATTGACTTGTTGTTTCCCATCCGATTCAACCGAGGATTTGTTTACAGTGCTCGGTTTTCCGCTGAGCACTGCTTTTGAGCTTTTGAGCAGCCAGTTGTGTTGGGTGCTGCCGAGGTAATGCACGAGTGATCGCGACCAAATTATTTTTTCTCAGCCTCCGCCTCCTTTTTCACCGTCGGAACATATCGCGCGCCCGGCGGATTTCTAAAAATCATAGCCGTAACGCCGCTTCTCTCTAGTCATTGTTTCCTTTTATAGCTTCCCGAGAATCGCAGAGTTTTAGTGTGAATCGCGACTGTTTATTTGTAAACAATAGATTTTTCCGGGATGTGCACGTTTTCTTTTGCACTTTGCCGCGCAGCCCCTGATCCGTCGTCACGATTTTCGTCAATCCACGATTTTTCAGCGAATTTACAGCTTTAATTAGAGACCAATATGGAATTAAATACACAATTTTCTTACACACGAGGTTTTGAAAGGAAGCAATGTTGATAAAAGTGGTACGTTGATAAAACTAATTCTCCGGCCAGTTTGTTATATTTAAAGTGGCTTAATGGTTTTAGCTGGAAGTGCGAGATAAAACTCTGAACGCATTAAAGGGGCCCTTGGGTAAAAAGCTTAAACACCTATAAATTGCATTGTTTTGAGCAAATAAAATTTGGTTCGTGCTGAATATTCAATATTGTATAAAGAGATTATAAAATAATTAAGCACTCATTAAATGATAACTATGGACTTATTTAGAGCAAAGCTTTTAAAACACTCACATATTTCATTGTGACAGATAAGGACTTTTGATTATTTCACAGCAGAGTAAACTTATCGGTTTTTGTTTTTACATTTATTATTCCTATTATGAAATTATTCTTGGAAGAGAAAAAAATATAGAATGAAATAACAAAAAACTTCTGTATGTTAATTAAAAATAATAATAAAATTTGTAATTTATTTCATGATATTTTTAACGTCTAAACGCATAATTGTATTATTTAGCTATTTTTAAAACACCAAATTCAACCAAATTAAAGTCTTGTAATGTTTAAATAATTTTAATTTGTGGAAATATTTTTTATTAATTACATTAATTAACAACATTTCAATATCAAAAGTCTCGCTTGTTATCTTTTTGCCAATTTCTGACTGACTGGGATTTCCTGCGTGGTTTCCAGCAGTTTCCCTCTGATAAATTTCAAAGCTCATTTCCTAGTCGGACGCGGTCGTAAAACTGTCTAAACAGATCGCTCTCAAAATCTCTACACCCGCCGCCGGCCAGAAGTACCAGAAAAGTGATGATCATCTTCCTCTCTCCGGGTCCTTTCAAATCAACGCATACCGAATCCCGTTTTTTTTCTTACTCTCAACAATAGTAGGAGCGCGAATGTAAAAAAGGACGCAAGGTCCCGCGTCGACCTCAGCATCCGCGGCGGCGTCAGATGGAGGAACAAAAAGCTAGGTCGACCCCTTCAAGGTATGCTAATGGTTAGTGTGTCGAGCGGGCGCCTTTTAAGGAAGAAGCGAGCATCAACCTTGCAGCACCTGCGAGATTCGAATTGAAATTACGCTGCCGCGTGTTGCGCAACTGCATTTGATTAACACAGACTTTTCCAATTGAAAAACAGAACGCGTTTAAAATTAAATAATCAATGCTTGTTCAAAAGAAAAAGCCAAACTCGTCAAACGAGACGATTATCGGCAATTAAATAAATAAGTCCAGCTGGGCGCATTTTACATTGAAAAAATAGGAGCGTGAGGAATGTGTCGCCGCTCTTTCGCGCGGAGACTGATGGACGCGTTTATTTTTGTTTTGCTTTCCGAGATTGCTGGGCTGACGACAGTGAAGTGCAGCACAAGATTTTTTGGACGCAGATCAAGAAAATTCATCTTGTCACAAAGCGGTTTTATAGCTTTTGACGTGTGGCACACAAATAAAAATAGCAATAATAATAATACTAAACTTAATAAAGTTAATTTATTCCACACAATAGTTCTGCAAATCGTATTGAATTTTTTTTTTATCTAAAACAAGCTACTAATTAGAACTTACTGAAAGTAGTATAAAATATTGCATAATTAATTCATAAATAATATACAAATTTTTAATCTTACAATTAGTACTTTTCATTTTTTTTTAAACTCAATCTCAGCACTCAAAATTGTTAATTTGATTGTTTAAGTTTCTCTATTATTGGCTCACAATTTCATAAATAGCACGTGAAAATGACTCTGATTCTGCATAGACACGGTTTTATAGCACAAATTTTACTCATTAAGCATTTTGGCTGCAGTTAAATTAATTTAAAAGGTCATTGTATAGCAACAAGCCAAAATAGCTCTGGTCAGATTAGGCCTCTGATCGCCCTCATTGTCACAATTAAATACAAATTATGTAACAAAATATATACTAAAAAAACTTTTATTTAATAAATAATATTTAAATGTTAAAAATTTATTTAAATTCTATGCCTTTTAAAACACGTAATTTAATTAACCAAAACAAATTAGGGTTTTTTTCATTCCCATTTTTTATGTAACAATTTAACATTATTCCAAAATAACTAATTTCTTAAATAACACAAAGCTATAGTTTTATTTGGAAAAAAAGTTCATTCCCCCTTATCTCTAACTATCTTGATTGTCTCTTTTTGAGGAAGAAGTTCGCTTTCAGTCCAAGACGCCAAGCCATATGAAGACCTGAGGAAGTAAACAGTTTCTTGGAATCGACTCTACTGAAGTAGAATCTACCTTGGACATTAATGTTGATTTAAATGGCAAAGTCGAACAAGCTGTCCCCAAAGAGCAGCTGAAGAGGGCAACGACAATAATAACCTTGGAAAGCATCACCTTTTGTCATTCAATCTTGCAACAATTAATTAATTGTAACTTTTTAAAAGATACAAACAAATGGGTTCGAACATCAATAAAAAAGAAGATTACATTTGAAGATATTAGAAACATTTTGCAATAAATTTATGTGCCTATGTGGTATAAAAAATATAAAGTAAATGTTTTCTAAATCACTAAGAAAGAAAACAACATGAAAAAATATTAATTTAAAAATATGATTTGAAGTTAAATATTAATTTCTATTAATTATAATTTCAATTGGAAAAAATATAGTAATATTGAAATTGAACTGAAAATATACAGAAAATAAACAAGAATAATACTTAATTAAGATTTTTTTTCTTTTTGTTATAAAAATTATATAATGTTAATCAAATTCGCGGCTTTTACTGATAATGAGAGCAGAAGCAGAACTGCTAATCAAAAGCTAATTTGCATTATCTGTGAAATTAGCTGCAGCCCGAAGAATACGCGCTCTTGAGGAACAAAAAATGATTTCACCTGAACTTTAATTATCATAGATTAAAAAGCACCTGTGTGTTGATGAGTATTTTTCTCTTATAGTCCGTCGACAACAGCCCTGCTTTCTATTTCTTTTCAGTTCTCACGAAGCGCGAATCTAAATTTAAAATTTCAACCCCCTCGAAGCAGCTGCAGAATTCCAACTAACGACTGTTTTATTTTTATGTTTGCTCCAATCACGCGATGGTGTAATTATAAAATAAAAAATAAAAAAATCGACGAATCGAATTGAAGTGGAACACGAAGGGGTGAATTATATAATGATAAAAAGCAACTTCCTGTCTGCGAAAACAAATTGACGGATCAATAGAACAGCAAAATTTTTTAATCACGTGATAACTATTTAATGTTCGTTTAATTTTTAGCTCATGTGTATAATATTTTACAGCTCGGAGACCCAACCATTTTTTTTTTCATTTCTCGTCGTCGGCACCCCCCGCTGCCCTGCCATATCGCGCAGCCCCGCGAGCACAATAAAAACAAACCAACAAAGGCGCGCATCTGCCGCACCGGCGTCGCCCGACCCCCTCGGCAGAAGGGGCCCAATTCGGGCCCAGCACCCCCAGCAACTCACCTTAAAAAAGGGCTTCGGGGCAGCGGCACGACACGCCCTGCGGACTCGCGCTGCTCAGCTGGACTCTTTGTTTTCGATCGATATTCGGCACCAAGACTCGCTCAACAACAACACCGGCTGTCGCACTCTCGTCTGCGGACTGACGACTGACTGATTCCGAAATACGAGCGAACGGCTGCGATCAGCGCCGCTCGGAGACAGTCGAAAGCTACTCCACAATAACTCCACAACATAGAGGCGCTACTTACGCGGCTATATTATCATAATCTAAATAAAATTAAAAATTTCATAAGCAATGATAACAGATTTTATTTTATTTACTAAAATATAATTTATAATTCATATATCAAAATAATTTAAAAGTACAGAGCATAAAACTCTAATATTTTAGTAAAAATCGGAAAAAGTTACAAATAAATTTTTAAACTGATTGTAAGCGAGAAAAATGCCAATGCTTTTTAAATATAGTTGAAAGAATAAACATTAAAATATTGTTGTTTATTCTACTCAAGTCATACATGAAAAAAAATTAAATTGAAAAAATGAGCAGAAAGGGTATCACAACTAGCAGAGGTCTGCTAATAAACTAACTTATTTAAAAAAAAAACGTAATGAGATAAATTTAGACATATATTTTTAAAATGAATGATGATTATCAAAATATTAACACATTTTTAAACTATTTTATAATTTTAAATATTTTTTTATTAATATTTTACTGACACTTATTTTTATTTTCCTTATTAAATTTTTTTGTTACTTTATAGTAAAATAAAATTAATAAATTGTTCTGCTTCACTGAGTTGTTGATATAGAAGCACATAATAATAACATAATATTAATTTCTTGTGTCATGACTGTTGCTGCGGGCATAGCAAGTTATGCTATCATAATAAAAAATAAAAAAAACATTTTATTGATTTATAAAGCAAATTCAGAGTAAAATTGTCTATTATCTGAGATTCTTCAATGAACAGCAATAATTACCATCTTACACTTGTTGAGTTAACACCAAAATATGAGAAAAATTAATTTAATTCATCAAAATGAACATCTCTGGTGCACTTGAAATAAATGTAGCATATCAATAGCCCAATCTAGCAAATTGAAGTTTGAAAAAGAGTGCTATCATCAGAAGATTTCTGTTGTTTGGAAAAAACTGGCTTATTTTCATTGTCCACTTTCAAAATACTTATTGAATTTGTCACGAAGCAATCTTGAAATAACCCTTCTATTATTTCTTATACAATTGGAGAACAAAAAGCTTAAAAGGCATTATGGGCAAGACAACCTTAAAATGAAACAATTTTGTAACCAGATGATGTTGCAAAATTAACTATTACAGTTCAGTATGTGGTCAGCGATTTGCTTCACATCTCGCTTGCAATCAACTTAAAAAAAAAAAAAAAAATGTTGATTAAATTCTGGAAGTAAATACAGGACACACATTTATTTCATGTTGTAAGCAAAACATCAAAATTAAATTTGAATTTCATTTTGCGCAGAGTCAATAATTTTATTGTTGTGTAATTCATTACAATGCAATATTTTAAGTGTTTTTAAACAGTTGCGTACTTTTTCTTGCAAAAGAAAAGAGGCTGCGGTAAAATATTGGGATTTTTTGTCACTCGGATGATGATAGGAGAGCAAGACCGTCAAGTTTTATACTAAGGTCTCCACTTTCATAAATTTATCATTGTCACGGCGAGTCAAGTAAGTAATTACTCTAGCAGACCAGAGGCCATTTATCTTTTTTGCAAGCAATATATCAATTGTGTGAGTTTTTATGATATGAATGGTTGGCGAGAAAATGTTTTATTTTGCTGAAGGAGTTTTAAATATAGAGGCATTTTGCTATATAGAGAGTCATGGTCAACTTCAACATCCCGAATTGCGCATAGTTTTGATTCTCTTTGCATGTGATTATTGGATATTTATCATATATCAAGAGAAATCACTCCGAAAATTGCTAAATTTAATATAATTATAGTAAAATCATTGAATTCAAATATAAACATTACCAAAAATGAATGTGTCCTTAATCATACAGATAACAATAATTATTTACAATATTGTGAAAGAACCTGCGGATTAAAGACGTAACTTTAAAAAGATTTACTTTGGCTTTTAAAAACTTATTTGTAACATAATTATTATATATAAATAATTCATCCGCTTCAATACAAGTCTTAAGAATCATTTTTTACGCCAGTAAAATTATTTTATTAATTACTATTAACAACACAAATTAATAGTAACATGTTCATATAACTAGAGAAGAAGGGTAAGCGAGTTTAGGACTTTTCATCATTTAGAGCCGTTGAAGGGAATTATCGCGCGGATTTCATATTGGTGTCTTGTGTGCCGGGTCGAGGGAGTATCTACTAGGGTTGTGAGGCCATCCGCATGCGAGCTGACTCCCGTGACTTGCTGTGGACTTCGGCAGTCCTCAGAGTGATGCCAAAGATGTCCTCATGATACCGATTTTCGTCCTTTGTAACATAAGAAAAGTTGAAATTATGTACGAGGCGCTCGTAAATATTCAGAAGCGTTAAAATAAATCAAATTATTTTTTTTTTCAAGCAAAACAAATCTAATTTTTAATTTTAATTTCAAGTTAACATCTAAGTGGATTTATATCTGTATTTTTTAATAATAAATATAAATTGTTGATTATTTCTTTTAATTTGCTTACTCTCAGAAGCAGCATGTAAGTCTCAACGGAGGCGTCAGTCATGCCACCATGCACCTTGATGATTTCCTTCAATGTGCGATAGACGTGTTCAGCCATGGTGCAGTCGCCACACACGTAAAAGTGGCCCTTCTGCACCACGATTTGCTTGTAGATGGCGGCGCTCTCTGTGCGAATCAGGTCCTGCACGTAAGTCTGCGAACAATTTGCAGGCGTTTCAGTCGCCACTTTTTGGTCACCGTAATTTGTTAACAACAGCTTTATTGAGTGTTTATTATAGCAATAATCAGAGTATCGAAATAATTGTGAAAAAATTTGATGATGGTGATCAATGTTTATAATTACTGTGCTATTATACTAATTAGTATTAATAATGATAATTAAGGCACACTATTAGCAAATATTGAAGCATGAAAATTATTATCACTACCATTGTGCGCATTTTATTAAAAAAAAAACTATTTTTTTTTTTTTTTAATTTGAATCTTTTGCACTAAAAATTTAATTCATCTTACACACTAACCTTAGGAATAGTAGTTTCCCTGGAAAGTGCAAGGAACACTTTCTGGAGAACATTAGCCTTCAGCATATTGTTTTTCTCGACGCTATACAAGTCTAGTTCCTTGTTCCTGCAGCCAAAGAAGAGCCACATCGGGCCCGCTTTCATTCCCTTCTTGCCGTTCTCGATCTCAGCCCGTCGGTGCTCCCAAAAACCTCGGAAGGGAGCGATTCCCGTGCCAGGCCCCACCATGATAATCGGACGCATTGGGTCTTCCGGCATGTGGAAGCCAGGCGCACTTAATTTTATAAAAAAAAAAAATTAATTTTTTTCGCATAAATATATTTCTAGTTTTAAGGTTTTTTTTACCTTCTGACAAACACATGCAGCAGTTCTCCCTGTGAACAGTCTTTCAGGTAATTGGAGCACACTCCATAATGCGTAGGTCCATTTCCACCTGCAATTTCAGAATCAACATTTCAATTTTAACGTGGCGTGACAAGTGAAGGTACAGAGTTATGACATGTGGTGAATTTTACGCAGATAACGCGGCTAACCAAGCGATTTTATATTTTAAGTCATGCAAAACTGGTTGAAATTAAGCGTGTAATTGCAAACGACCTCGCACGGTTCAGCACCCACCTTGCGCCTTGTACGAGACGACAGCGACGGTGATGTGGATGGCGCCTGGGTGGACGCGTGGCGAGCTCGAGATGGAATAGAAACGCGGCTGCAGGGGGCTCAGCTGGGACGCGAGCAAAGCCACGTCGGGCTGACAAGAGGGAAACTGCTGCAGCACCTCAAGAAGGTGCGGATACCGCCAGTGTCGCCAATCCTCGTAAGCACCGGAATCCTGAGTTGAGGACAACGGGCGGTTATTAAAGAGGGAACAGAAGTATAATTTTATGCAGATTTTTTCTTAAGCAATAATTGAATAATTTCAAGCTTATTTTAATTTGTTTTGTAAATCTGCATATTATAATATATAAGCATTACAAATTTATTACGTTTTTTTTTTAAATCACTAATTTAATTGATAGCAATATCAATGATAAATATTTTTAATAATACTTTTTATAAAGTTAATATCCCCGTCCCCGCTGTGAATAGATAGAAAGTTCAGAGGTCCATGCATTGAAAAAGTGGGCAAAATGAATTCGAATTGGAAAGATCGATCATTCTCATAAAACCGAAACATTTGTAGTACGAAACATGCTGAGAACAATTAAGCTCAATTGCAAAATTTTTAGCAAATACTGGCAAGTCTTAAAAAGTGCGAAAAACCGCAGTTCAAAAATTCTGAGCAATCAGGAAAAATATTTACAAGGTGGATTCCAAAATTCAAATATTAATTATGAATGAGCTCTCAGAACACCATTTTCCGCAAAAGAGAAGTAGCAGCAGATATGGCTAAAATCGCCATGTTCAAAGTACCATGTAGCGCAACAATAACAACAATAATTATGATCAAATGGAAAAATCAGTCAACAGTATAAAAGTATAAAAAATACGAACGCAGGCATCAGTCCAAATCCACAATTTGCAATAAACTCGAAATTTGATAATGAGAGATAGAACGGATTGCGTGTCAATTAGAGAATTTTGAAAGAGTTCCTTACTATTCCTAGGCCTGCCTGAAAAACGAAATTATCTTTAATTAGTGACGCGAGACTTGAAACTCTGATGGGAGCGTGTCAATTTTCCCTTACTTCCCATGTAATCTTTATACAAAAAGAGAAAACTTATTTTGTACGTACGGAAGCAAGCTTGTCCAGTTCGATCCGCTCTTGCTCGTCTTTGGCGGTGGCTGCCAAGAGACGAAGCACTGATGGTGCCGGGGGTGTCGTTATGTCCAAGTAGCGAGAAAATAGGGTACGAATGGACGCCGAAGAAAGCTTTGGGTGCGAATCCCAGCTCTTCAGCAAACCTGTTTAATATTTCACATTTTTTATTAAAACAAAAATTGATAATAATTAACCATTTGGAGTAGGTTTTTCGCTGAGAGTCTGCAGCTGGACAGGCTTGTCGCACCAATTTGGAGGTGCATTTGTTGGCCGAAGTCTGTCCAGAAGGCCGTTCACCAGATCCGGTCGGTTGCACGGGAAGACCCCAACGTGGTCACCCGGCTGGTAGCTGATGTTGATGGGGCAGGCCAACTCCAATAGCATGGTCGCTCGACTATTTTTTATTTTTTTTCATTAGTAATAAAAAGCAATTTAAAGTTAAAGTAAAAACTTACGGCGAGTGTTCTCCATGTAAGTTTGCCTTGGCCAGCACTTTGCACGCATTGACCTTTTTGTTGTGCGCCCGAGTCAGACCTGAAAATTTTGTTTTCTTGTTCACATTTTGCATCTGTGGAAAGCGACGAAAAGCAAAATGTGCACACCAAAAGCCTAACTTCTCTACAAAGCAAATAAACGCAAAAATTGTGCAAAACGGAAGGCAAAACTTTATTGGGTAAAAAGATCAGCGGCAACTATGATACGAACACAAAAAGCAAAGTGAAACTAAAGGTTGTTAATGCGAAGCAGTCGCAGGCGTTTTTCGTGCTCGTACAAACCAGCAACTAGAGATTCCTCAGCAGAGATGTCGGCAAAACGGACAGCTGACGAACTTATGTTCTCCGAGCGAAGCGCCTTTGTTGCCTCGCTCAGCGACGCGTCATCATCTAGGCAGAACGTTTCGCAAGCCATCTAAACAGAAATGGATTTTTTTATAAAAAAAATATTTATAATAAATTAGATACATAAAATTAAATACCAGGATGAAGAAAAAGGTTCTGATTTAAATTTAAAAAGTTTTTTGGAAATGTTTACATCTTCAATTATTGCTTCTAATTAATTATAAAAAATTCCTACAATAAAGGTTTGACTACGAGTGCTATCACAGCAATTAAGTAACTTTTATTTAAAGATTTTAATTTTTTTTAAGCATATATGTAAGATATTTTCACATAGTCAACAGAGACGTAATTTTCAAAAAAATCGTCTACTCGGTAGAGGAATGTTGCTGTTGACGTTGATTTGACAATTTTTCTAAAAATTCTCCGTAGACAAATATGAAAATTTAGGTCTGCTTGGACTGGAAAATCTCATTTTTTTGAGATTTTTCAGTCCAGGCAGAACTAAATTCTCACATCGACTAAGGCGACTATTTAAAAAACTTGTCAAATTAAGGTCAATATCTGGGGATTTTTTTTAATCAACGGAGTAAACCAAGTTTGATAAAAAAATCGTCTACTCGGTAGATGAATGTTGCTGTAGACGTTAATTTGACAATTTTTCTAAAAACTCTAAATAATTTTATTTAAAAATGTAAGATTATCCAAAATTAGAAATAAGCGCTTTAATTTAGTGAATTATTAAATAATTGTATTAATTAATATTTTAATACTAATTTTTTATTTGCATGCTGGCTACTCGATGTTGTTTTTTTATTTAAAATAATGCAATTAATATGACTAAACACATAGCAAATTGGCTTAATTCAGATTGCGAAAGCTGTGAAAAGTGACGCACACGACACGTCAGCCACTTTTCACAATAACCGTCATCACAAGCAAAGGGAATTGGATTTGCACTAATTTCCAGGCGTATAATTACAACCGGCAGATGACCGCGCACACTGTGCGCGTGACCGAAATCGCAAATGAGGGCAGCGGCGGAAAAGGGTCGAAGGGCAGTTCTACACTTACGGTGAAAACCTCGCGTGCCCAGTCACGAAAGGCTTGCTCCTGTCCGCAGAGCTCGTCACCGGTGGCCAACTTCATCAGCCGCTCGCCGCCCAACTCGCCCAGCAGGTTGTCCACGTATTTGCCGAAGGCGCAGTAGTTGGGGTAGGCGCTCGATCCCAACGCAAACACGGAGAATCTGAGCACATAAATTCTTATAAAACTGACTCATCGGAGGGTTTTTAAACTATTTTTTACCTGACGTTGTTTAGCGGCCCAAAGTTGTCCTCGGACATGACGTCACTGACGGAGCCACGCAACGAGTCCAGACGATCAAGCGGCCTCTTTTCCACCGTCTTTTCCGTGTCCACCTGGCTGTTGGCCTTGATGAAGGACTTAGAGGTGCCCATTCTGCTGCGACAGAAAAAAAAAGAGTCATAGCTCCTTCCTCGGTAGGCAACCGGCACGACTTGCGCGTCGGCCGTTTTGCATAAGCAAACAAAGCCGAAAAACTCTCCCGTGCTAATGGATCGGCAGCGCAGGCGGTGTTTTGCAGAAAATTATCGCGCACCAGAGTTTGCCGAGAGCGGGTCGGAAAGCCGGCGTTAATTGCGTTTTAATCGGGGCCGGCTTTGCAACCGGGTTAATTGTTTTGGGCGAAAAGAAAGACGGATGCCGCTATCTGGCAAGGTGCTTTTATCAGCGCTTAATTGGAGATTTATCGACCAATTACTTTCAATTTCGGTCGTAAAGCTTTTCACCAATGTAAAGTGGCCTAATTTTAATCGGTTAAAACAATTTTCAGCTGTTTTCTTTATATAAATATTTTTGTTTTGCCAATTTAATAAATTGCTGACAAAGGAAAAACTTTTTTGCTTTTTTTATTTTTGAGTAACATATAAATAAACAAACATTATAAAATATTTTATTGCCGAAATTGAGCAAATTTGATTCTGATTTTAGGTTCCAACATCTCCGCAACTTTTACTTTGCTCGTAAATTCAACGTACAACTCCGCACGAACATCAATTTTTGTGTCAAATGCAACAGAAAGGATAGGGCAAGTGCACAAATTACTCCGTTATCAGATTCTTTCTACTTGTTTGCCACCACCGCGACGGAAAATTACATTTAGCTCTTGGTGGCAACAAACAAAAGAGGGCTAATCGAATCAAGAGCGAACGGCACAAAATTGACGTTGCGGAGGTAAATAATGGTGATTAATGAGCCGGCGGCGGCTGATAGAATAAAGGGTCGCGTTATTAGGATTTATTGGAGCTGTTTTTGGAGCAAAAAATAATAATTTCACGTCTCTTTTGCTAAAAAAGCCACAAACCTGATACTGTCCGTTTCGCCTGTGGCCGACGCTTCGTCCATTTTCATGGCGTACAAATTCTGCGCGAACGCCTGCAATCAGAATGAAACAAAAAAGGTAAGCAGGGTGAATAAAAACACAAAGTGTCTATTTTGTGTCTGCTCTTTTTACATCACTTTTATTGCACGCCTCGATTTCGGCCAGCAAACCAAAGCAAACAAACGATAAAGCCAGCAAGAGGCGATAAAACTCGCACTTAAGAAAATTAGCTTGCACAACGTTAAAGTCGAGCGGTAATAATTGAGTGAGGGACGGATATTGCTCCGCGGCTCTCAACGAAGAGAATCTAATCAAACTGTTGTGGCATAATAAGATTCCCAAATTTTGCTACAGGCAATACAATAATAAGCATGCTTCACAAAACTCCAGATTGGCTGCTATGAACGCAATATGCACCCGCTCAACAAAGAAAAATAAATTAACATTAAAAAAATTATTAGTATACAATATGAATATATATCCTCCTGCTACAGTTGACAAGCCCGGAAATCTAAACCTTTCATTTTATGAACATATATGAAAAATTTTAAATTGACCTAAATGCAATCCTGCCAGCTGTACAAGGAAATGAAACATTTTCAAGTAAAATTCCTTCAATTTTGCACAAAATGTTCTTTGTTGAGAGGGTTGTGTGTATATTTCATACATATGTGTATAAGTTCTGCCCACCAAAGTCTAACCCGAAAACTAAAGAAAAAAAAACTTTAATTCGGTGTGTTCTTTGGTATGTTTGCTTACTTGTAAACCTGACGTGCTGAATAAATTTTCTACCTAAAAATAATTTTAAGAAATCTCAATGGTTTTTTTTTAAAGAAATAAAGATCGTGGAAATGATAAAGTGAAATGAAATACCTTTTCCGTTGCAGACCAAAATAGAAATGATTTATGCAAAAATATCAGCTTACCTCGCCATTTTCTGGTGGGTCACCATTACCGAAAGTGGACGTGACAACCAGTAACAACGCCTCATGTTCGACGCTGCTCATGTCGTAGTCTTGCATGCAGTACACCTGTCAGCGACGCCAAATCGATTTCGCTCATTAAATTAAACGAGCTCTCCATATCGAAAAATTCGTACCTGTGCGTTAAACGCGTGGCCGAAAATCTCGCCCAGCTTCTTGGCGTACATCTCTGAACGTCCCGTCTCGGTTGCGTACAAAACTGTGGCCTTGATGCGGCGCGAAAGGGCGCGACCGAACAGCTTTGACGTGAACTTGACGGCCCTAAATAGCACAATATTGGGTCAAGTGGCACGTTTGTGAATTTAAAAAAAAAAAAAGACGAACCTGGCGATCTGTTTGAAGTGGAATTTGCGGCTGGGTTTGCTCTTGGAGCCTTTGCTCGAGTCGCGGCCTTTCTTCCACTCGTGCGTTTTCCAGGCCGGCTCCTGAATTCATAAAAAGGTATTTATGCCAAAAACGAATTCATCATTCGTTCTTATATATAATAAAACGAGACGATACATTTTTCATGAGTTGACGACACTCAAACTAGGTGTATATATCGAGTGCTCTTTTAAAGTGGAATTTATTTGTGAGAGAAAAAAAGCGACGCGTGGAAAACGAGCGTGTTGCTCGACAGCTGCGGATCGGATTCGCCAGCACTGCCGGTCGGTCGGCAATCGGCTGCCGCATATCTCGTCGGCGAAATAAAGTGTCACACTTGGTGATGCATGCGTGGGTGCTTCTCGCCGGCGAGAGAGAGCGAATAAAACGATGATAAGGCGCGGTGGATTGACAGAACTTAAATAGGAATAGCCGGGTGTGTGACACCCTGCACGTACGTACGTATCCATAAACATGCACCGAGTGCCGGCATGCGGACATACACGGGTATATAGCGCGCCATCGATTTCTACTTTTCCATGTGATATCTTTCATCCGCATTTCCCAGTGACGAATTCAGAGGCGGAAGGATACGATACAAAGATCATTTTGACCATTTTGAATCCTTGTTAATGTTGACCGGACCAGCTCGAAAGAAGATAGTGGGACCAGGTAACAGAATTATCACATACTAAAGGAGAGACTAGAACTTCAAAATTTAGGGAAAAGTTCATAGTTTGATTACTGAATTTTAGAGGTTTTAAAAGTAAGGAATTTTTTGAAGGAAATCGCTTTAAATCTTTTTAAAAACCTAGTGAAAAGAAGGAGGGGAACGGTGCATTAATCCTTCCAAAAAAAAAAAACACTAAATTATTAAAAATATGCAAAAAAAAAATAATTAAATAACTAAGAAAATATTCTAGAGAGGTTTAAAGGAAAAGCCAAAGCCCAGAAATGATTGAAAATTTTAATTTAATTTACAATTAGAGAAATATGAAGAATAAATAGAAATAAATTATATATTGAATCCTTGGATAAAAATTATAAAATTTAGCTTTGACTAAATTTAGATACAAGTGAAAGCTTCTTTTCAAATAACGTAATTTTGTTTAAAAAATTCCAAGGAATGAAATACATAAGGGCAATAAATTCCAGGTAGGAACTTCATTATATTTTATGAGTTTAATTAAATTTGAGTTGAATGGAGGCACAACACGCGCGTTATGTATTAAATAACTTAAACGGAAAGCGTAAAAAGGGATCATTAAAGCCCGCAAGCCAAAATCCATTTTTTGCCTTAAAACAAAACACGCGGCGTAAAGAGCAAACCGTCGTTATATTATAATTTGTATAATAAGATAATATCATTTGGCTGCAGTTGCATTAGCACCGCTCATAAATTAAAAGATATGTTATCCGCCGGCGGCAGCGCATTTTGCCCGCTTGCACGCGCAGATTAGAGCTCGCGCGCGCCTGCTCCATCTACGCACAGGACATTTTTGCAGTCCCGCGGCTGCGGTGATAAATCTCGACCTCGTAATTGGCCGAGCAGGAATTGCGAGAGTGCAAAAAAATTACGGTCGCGACACCAAAACTGTTCCCGGGGGCAAAACACAAGTTTTTTTGCGCTGAAATTTGGGCTTTCCACACGCACCTGATACTCGTAGGAGGGTTTCAGGTAGTAAAGGGCCATTTCCTGGTGAAAAACGGGTGTGATGGAGCTCGACATTGGCGGCACAATCCACACCCAGTCAGCCGGACATCCACGTCGCAGGCGCTGCTCGTTGTCCATGTGTTTCAGGAAACTCTCGGACGCCGTGTGGTGGTCCACAATCGTGGCGTTGTGTAACTGAAATTGAAAAATTGGAATTACTTCGACTAAAATAAATTTTTTTCTAATTACATTTCTTTAATTATATTTATATATAATCTTCCTATATTTAAAACTATCAATTCGATTTATTTAAATTTTATACTTTTTACTTTACTTATTAAAAGTGAATAAAAAAATTAAATATTATATATTTTAATACAATTAATTTCAAAAATTGATTATTGAAACATTGTTGTTGTTGTATTTAACTGTTTTACCAAAATATCGTTCACTACAAATACAGTTTGATGATTTCTAGCTGTAGATATTCAATGGAAGCATTCAAAAATATCATAGAGGTAAATAAATTTAGAAAAAATTATTTATAGTTTAGCAATATTGCAGTGCTCAATGCAATGAATAAAGATAATATGGCCATAAATCCCGTAAGAAGATATTTTCATTCTATATAATTAAATGGGCATTTCTATCATTGAAACGTTTTTTTCTGTCAAACAACAGGCAAACCAGGCGGGAAGATATTTTTCAATTGTAAGAAAAAAAGTATTTTTCTACTTCTATTTTTTTTAAATGAATAATTATAAGGGTAGAATTATGGGCAACTCAGGGACCCAGAATCGAAGACATCAATAAAATTCAGAATTATAACGATTTCTGGTCTAAGAATTTTTCTATCATCTATAAAAATTGTTTGTAGTTTTGCAATCAAAAGTTGCTTCCAGGAGGTCAAACCGGCAGTTGTAGTGCAATCAGCAGCAGACACAAGGCAGCGGATGATTTTTCAACGCCAGCCTCGTGCGAGATAGGAATTCATTCATTCGTGTGACAAATGGCGCAAACAACAAGTACAACAACAAAAGCAGAGCGTGTCGCTTCGTCAATGGTTTAGAGCAGCCGAGGGCCCCATTAGATTAATTGCCGCGAGGGCCCTAGACTGATTAAAGCGCGAGCATTGAAAATCACCTGGAAACTGTGCAGCACTGCGACGTTCACCTCGACCAGCGCTTTGTCTTTCCACAGAGTGACTGGATTGCGGGTGTCCAGACCCATGTGTGTCGCCACCACCTGCGAAAAACAAACACGGACGGAGCTTTTACTCGATTGCTCCTCATTAAATAGGCTTTTGTGCTTTAAAAAGGAAGCACTTTTTTTAACCAGATAAAACAGTTCTGATGAAATAACTTGATAGGTACCTCAGTGATGTTGTACCGGTTGGAGTCGCACAAGTCGCGGCAGCCAATCTCGGTGCCCATGTACCAACCATTGAAAGGACACGCTGTGAACTCGAGACCGCCACAGTCAAAGAGCATGCCTGACACTGCCGGCACGCAGTACCACCGAAGACCCAATTCACCAAACCAGTCAAAGCTGGAAAAAAATTACATATTTCTTGTTTATGGCAAAAAATTTAAAATGATAACGTAAAAATATCCATGGAGAAAAAATATAAATTATGCAACATATGTATTTATTTATTTGCAGCTTTTTTATTTCAAGAATTTCCGTTAATAGGTCAATTCATATAATTTTTAATCATATTTGTTTTTATATAATGAAAATTTATTTATTTATTTTTTTTTTAAATTGGTTCTACAAAGTAACTTGCAAAAATTTATGAAATAATAATGAAAGGAATGATTTAATTTAATTTACTAAAAAAAACTCACGTTGGATGTGTAAGAGGAATTTCCATGACTAGGTCTGGTGGAATGTCAAAGTACTCAGGGTCGTGTCCATTGGCTGAAAGCACCAGCGGCAGAATATCAAAGCGCGTGTGTTTGCCTTTCCAGCCGAGTCGAGTGCAAACCTGCGAGAGAAAAAAAGTTTAATTACCCTGCGCATGTTGATGGTCTGTTTTACCTCAGTGAACTCGACATTGACAGGGTCGCCGGTGATGGTGCCGTCCAGTTCTTTGTAGCCAGCGTACGAAATGAGCTGCATGTTCCACACGCGGAAGTCGTGTTTGCCGTCGGTCCGCTGAGGAAAGATGGTGATCGCCGATCTGCGAGTTTTAAAAGCAATTTAATTGATCGCGTCTCGCAAACTCGGAGTCTTTGTCACACAGAAGCGAATACGGAACAAAGGATTCGCTTTCAGAGTAATTATGTTTCAGAGGCGCCCAGAGACTTGTGCAGAGAGACCATAATTTTAATTATGTAAAGCGAGCAGAGCGCATGCAATTTACTTTCGGTCTCGGAGGAGCGCTTGTGTCACATTGCTTTGACATCTCTGTGCAGTCGCTCATTCATAGAAGAATTAAACTGTACAATGTAAATTCATCTTCGTCGTCAGGTATAAGTGATTGATAAAGGTAAAACAAAAGAGAAACGAATATATCTGGAAAAAATTAAAAAAAAAAATTATATGTTATGTATGAACCAATATCAAGTAATTTTCAAAAATATTTTTATGTGGTTGGTATTTGGGATAGACAAATAAATGATATAAAATTAAATTTTGCTATAAAAAAGTGAAGACAATCTAGGTTGATTAAGAAAATCATTTAAAATGTTATGATCTACTTCATCAAAAGTAAAATATTTTTTCATAATGTATTTTTAATCATACTTTTTGTACAAATTTGAATTATTTATTCTCCCCTAATATTATTAAAAAATAAAATTTTGCCCTAACAAATAAATTAATCTATTTTATAAAGAATCGCTGTTAAATTAATATCCTCTAAATTTTTCTGAATAGTTTGCTTAAATTGTTATTAGTTTGTCGCGATTATAATTCCAAGATTGGAACAATACAAGGAAGTAAAATTTATACAAATTATATTGAAAAAGCATGTTTTGAGAGAGTATTACATATTCTCTTTGTTTCTGAGAAGCTAATTCGAGCCGACTTGTCAGATCCAGAGACCTTTTTAATCTAGCTGCTCGCGAAGCTAATTTGCTTCTTTGCATCGTTCACGTCGAGCAAAACAAACGAGCCAAATGAACAAACAACACCTGTGATCCTTAAGCCCTTTTTTGTCCCGAGTTTGCAAATATGTTTGCAAGGGAAATATGAAATAACCCTTTGCCATAGGTCAGGAAATTCGTCACCACAGAGAATTTCCAAGTTTTGCCTTATTTTCCTTTTGTAATATACACTGACCTGATGTTGCCTTTGTTGGTGCTGTACTTGATGTGGTTGCAGATGGCTTCGAACATTCCGCCCGCCGATGTCACCCCGCGACAATCAAACACCTGCAACACGTGGAAAAAATGGTATATTCTGTTGGTCTCTTCAGTTCACGTGCAAAGTCACGAGAGAAAGAGTTATTGGCCCATTCCGCGGGGAATTCGGCTCTTGACATCTAGTGAACAGCAAAAGCCGTGCGAGTGCAATAAATGGCACCGTAAAATAAAGAGGCTTTTCGCCATTGTGCCCTGTTCGGTGGCGGGCATTTTTTTTTTCTCGATGAGAGCATCAGCGGCAGGAATTCGATTCCTCGCCGTCTGCTTTTTTGTTGCTGTTGCAAAACTTTTAAAAGGTTTTTGCAGAAAAGAATTGGGTAATTGGGCAGTTAAATTTATTGAATTATGTGAAGCTTGGGCCTGATGGTGCTCACGTAAAGCATCCTCAAGGAGAAAATAGTTTAGTTTCAAAATGAAGTGTCTGGAATAAATTCTGCTCTACGTACTTTGAGAAAGAATCAGCTGTGCAGAAATAAAATTTAAGCTATTTAGATGGAAACGTAAAAAAATTAATACTGTTTAAAACTTTATATTGAATTATTTCTGGGGGATAATTTAAAAGGATTTCTTTGTTTCAAAGTGCGCGCAATATGCAAATTACCTCCTTTTACAGAGACGTAAAGCAAAACTTTCAGAAACCATCTGGCACGCGCCCTCACTTTCGCGTCTCTCAATTGTCATCAGCGGAGCTCGCGCGAAACAGAAGCACATCAAATTGTATTTTAATATAAACCTGTTTATACCTCATCAACGCAAAATCGCAAATGTGTTTGCACTCTCGTCGACACGTTGGCAAAGGCAATATATTGCATTTTGTTTGTTGCACCGGAAAGCACCTGCCGCTGCCACAGACACGCGAAATTTAATTATTTCTCGATCTCTCTACACCTGAAGATAGTGCGCGGCTGAGATACAACAATGAACGTATAATTCAGTGTTCTCGCGAGGGCAAAATGGTAATGCACCCGGGCAGACGGCGATAATTAGCACTGCCGACCGACTTGTTGGAGTTCGTCGGGCGCAATAACTTCGCGAGAGCAGAACACAGGCCGGTAATTAAGACACTCGCGTGTGTTCATCAATCAAATTCCGCAACCGCGGCGGGGCTGCTCTCATCTTCGCAGCCGTCGCGGGCAGGCCTCTTCGCTAATTACTGCAGCTCAACACCCTCTGCGAACGCCGCAAATTGAAAAGTTGACTGACACATGCTTTTTGTCTATTTTTGTTCCTTTTTTTTTGAATGATTTAAAATGAGTTTACATATGTTTTACTATTTAAAAATTTTCACACCAAAATTAGCGCTCATAAACAATTTTTCTAGCATCTGAGCATCAATTTAGATTATCCTTCTGCAATGGCTCAGGATAATACCAGCCCAGCATAATTTGTTAAGAAAGATGTCATAATCTTTTCGGCAAACGTAGAGCCTCCTTCCTCATTTTGGACCGCTGGGGCACATTTTAGTTTGTTTAAAAACGGCTTATTCGCGCAGCATGAATTATAAATACGATTTATGTCGAGTTTACTGCAGAATTATGTAAATGAGAACTCAAACTTTTTCTCTCGGGAAACTTTTTTGTGTGCTGCACCACACACCAGAATCCTAATTTGCTCGTTTTGTTTTTAATTGATTACGCAGTTCAAGAGCTTAAAATTTTCTAAAATGCCCGTAAAAACCAGAAGAATCGTATAATTATGTTTATTTTGAAGAATCACACAACCTAAAATAAACTGAAGCAAATAAGGGTTTTCACCAAAAATGTGGATATTTACTTTATTTCTCCCAATATGCCATTCACGGTATACGGATTATCAATGACAATAAACGATTTTCACACTCGATTGTCTCAATATTCCCACATATTCCAAGCTAAATAATTAATCCTATAAAATTCATAAATAAATAAATTAAAAATAAAAAAGCTTATGGAATAACAATTGTCACATTATTTGATCAAATTTCGTCAGCTCGGTTGATAGATCTGTTTGTGTTAATTGAAACAAACGACGCAACAACGCAGTGATCCGGTGAAATCCTCTTTCAGTGACAAATATTTGGAAGTTGATCACAACTGATGTTAATTGACGTCAAGCGCGGGGGCTATTGCACGTTTATTATTATTTTGACGAGCAGACATGCATATGGGACAATGAACGGTGCTAACCAGATTAAATGGGGTGTCGGACCGTGACATTTGTTTTCATTGAGGATATTGGACTATTTTTGGGCCCAGGGACGGACACTTTCACTTTATGAGCTGCCGTTTTGGCAAATTTCTAATGATATGGAAGAAAATCGATTTGTTTTAGTATTTTTATCAGGCAGTGACGTCACAATGACAGCACTTTCCTTTGCACACACGTTTTGTTTTTCCTGGAAACTATTTCTCTTCGGCTGAATAATATTCTGAGCTCAGTCTGAACGATTGAATTCGATCTCTCGGCGGTGAGAGAGTTCGGAATATAATCCTGGCCGCATCCACTCCCGAGCAGGCTGATTCGGAATATTTTCCACGGCGAGTAGTATAGTTTCGCGCACTTATATTGTGTTCCTCACTGCTGGAGGCGCGAAACAAAAGCCCACCCTCGCCACATATATTTCATCTCTCTCACGCGAAAGCGTTTCTGGTTGGGGTAGTTTTGCTTTTCCCGCGGATAAAAAGATGGTGGAAGCATGTACGAAATATAACGTTTTCAACATATACGTTTTACGGAGTGTTTTTTTGCGTGCGGAATGCCCAGGGGTAATTTATTTCGCCGCGCTTTTCGCTTCCACCGTTTTTCTCAAGAGCGTTCTTATTTATAATTCCACTAAGTGAGCACCACGCTCGCCTTAATCAAGCGTGAAAGCGTTCATTATACGTGTTTGTTCCGCGCCGAAGTAGCACGGGATGTTAGCGAGAAAATGAAATTTACACATTTCCGGCAATTTTATCATTCTTTTTAGAAATGATTTGAATTTTTATTTCAAATTTATTGTTTAAAAAAAAAAAATACTCCTCACAATTGGGATCCATCACACAATCAATTCAAATTTTTAATTATGAAAATTATTGTTGGACTGGAAACATGATTAATTTAATTTATAAATCTTCATATTCACAGAGATTGACTAATTTTTCAAGGCAATCTACCTCCTTCAGTTGCAAAGAATGAACTTTCGTTTTATTCTCCACCTTGAATAAAAGAGCTACACAGGTGCCGCCAATCTTCATTGAGACCGTTTTTGAAAGATTTATGTCTTTTGGCACCCAAGGCAACATGTCCATTTGAAGTGGCGCATATGTCGCACTTTTAAAACCACAGTACACAAAGTTTGACTTGCAATAGTTTTTGAAAGCAGTTAACCGCAACAATCCAGAGGTGTGAAAATCGGACGGCAAATTTCTAATGACACATTTGATTTCTTCTGCGCTTTTCGGCATCCAAGGCCCACCAGGACGAACCATTGTGCTGCATGCATACATCGCTACTTCATTTTCAGCCGGGATGCTTTGAGCATAGTACATGGATTTGTTGCACATTTTCTTGAATGTCCCAGTTGCTTAATAAATAATATGCGTAATTTGAAGCATAAAAATTTCAAAAAAAGATGAATATCGATTTTAACATACCAGCTGAGTTGATTTGTTTTATGGTTCTTGCCTATTAAAAAAAATTGTTTAGTTAAAAAAATTTAAATTTACGATTTCAATCCGTTACAAAAACGAAAAAGAGACTAACAAATTTTTTTTATCATAGAGAATTTTGGGGAGGGAAAAAACTACGTACAACTATAGAGTTAAAATTTAAAGTTGGACACTCGGGACATGACGCAGCCTACAACAATTGGTTTCAATGAGTTGTGCAACAAATCGATTAAAATGTACATAGGCATCCATTCCGGCACCAGTTTTTTCATGGAAGTAGCAACGATCTTTAGAATTACGGCTTGCATTATTCGCCAACCCCAGACACTCGGCGATGCAAAATCTCACTCTGTAGCGAAGCCCACAGTCTAATGAAATTTATAAGTTAATGAGAAAAGTGAAAAATATTTACTTTTACCATATCTTTCAATGGTCATTAATGTCATCTATGAACATAATTATGCTAGCTAGTGAATTCAATACAGAATAAGATACTATCAACTTGCCTGTGGGAAGAAAAGTATTGAAAAAATTATAAAAGTTTGAATTGCAGCACAGAGAACACCGAAAAAATGATGCTTAACTTTCATGATTTCATCAGCTGTCTGCTCTTTACGTTTAAAAAAACAAAACTAATAGTTCAGCGTCATCAACAAACGTTTTTCCTATTTTGAAAATCGTCGTGATTTATTTGTTGCGCGCTGCAAAACTGTCACAACTCTTTATATGCTTTATATCTATGCATCAAGCAAACCACAATATTTTACGCAGTTCCGGTAAAAAAATTTATAACTAGGACGTGCTGGGTCAGTAAATTAATATATCAAGTGTAATGTTGGAAAATATATAATCATTGGAATGAAATGACTTTCAGGTTTGTAAATTTTTCACAATGATGAAACTTAAAGATAAATTTTAATATTCATTTTTGTTTTCAAAGAAACTTTTCTATTATTTCATGAACACCAAAAACGTATTAATAAAGTTAGATCTGCAGTAAAAAATTAATTTCTCATTGCAACAGGGATGTCGAAACGATGGAAACGTTAGACACACATAATTGGACAAAACACGGTCAAAATTGACTTGACAGCGGTGCACATAGAAAAGCAACCCTGCCGGCGCGCGGTGTTTTGTTAACACACCGGCAAACAGCCCATCCGTCCGTCAACCAGTTCTCACGCCGGTGTGCGCAACGCACACGTCTAATCAATTTATACACACCGTGGAGTCGACGAAACGAAAGATTTATCGGTGGTCGTCTCTATTTCTGAAACCTGCCGCTTTCCGCTGCGAGCTCTTGAAATAATTATAGGGTGCTAAAGGCGCATAATTTGATATAAAGCAAAGTTTGAAATTAAATTACTAATTGAAAAAATATCTTAAAAGCCAGCTTTTTATGATGCTAAATTTTTACAATTGGATGAAATAATTGTATAGTTTATTTCTAAAAATATGAAATGAAGATAATTTTATATAATTTTAAATTTTTAAATCAAATTTATTTTTACCATATCTGTTGCATTTTTTTAGCATTATTCATTTATAATTCTAGAAAATTATATAATTCACACAGAATTTTCACATTTTTAAATTTTACCAAGATTTATTAAAAGAAAGGAAAAGTTCATAAGGTCGTTCCAATTCTGTTCACGTTGACTGTTCGCCCGAACAAAGAGTGCATCGGATCAGTAGCTTTTTTGTCATTCGTCGCGCGATCCAAGGGTGTACATATCGCGGTGCAGGATCAGAGGGCGCAGAAGATTCGGCCGCGTTCGCAGATTGAGTGATAAAGTGCGCGAGGAGACCCCTTTGCATATTTAGCAGCCCATCCCCCGCTAAATGCGGTTGTTGCTTTCAAATGGGTGCGACAGAGCGAAAAGGGATTTCGTGCGATTGACTGGTGCGGCAGGCAGGTGGGAAAAGAGAGAGGCGCCCCTGCGGATTTTCAGTCCTTCTAAAGAACCGGAATGCGTCGAAGCAGAGTCTCGGACAAAGGGCATCCAAATTAAATCCGGGCTGTCGTGCGGTTTGCATAACTCGTATGCACGGCAGAACTTGGTCGTTCGTGAGAAGAAGATCAGCGTTGGGCGATTCTGAGAATTGGGCGTTGCGGTTTTGTTCAATCGAAGCAGGCAAAAGTTTGCAACTTTGGGGTGTTGCTGAAAGCCTATAAATTAAAGATGCTCTTGAACACTTTTTTGGTGCAAGGAAAAAACTTGAACCATTAGTCATGCAAAAATTCATCTGCAAGATATTTGATATTTATAAACATATGCACATAATTAATAAATATTTGCAACTAAACATGCAAAAAATTCCAGTGCAATTTCTTTTATATTGTTTCCTGTACATTCCTTTAGCTGAAGCAGCGGTCGGAACGAGCAACGACGTGGAATAAAAAATTTATTCATTTTACATGAGCAAAGGATTATAAAAGTCGGTGTGCCAGTGAGACGGGATTATCTCAGTGGGATCATCCATTACCGCGGATCCCGTCGGTGAGCGCAAAAAGCGACTTTCGCTCTCAAATCCCCAACTTTTTACCCAGCACATTATGCCGTAAACTTTTTATATAAGACGATTATTTTCCGCTTGTTTTCGCTTTTAGCACGTGTGAGGGCACTTTGAAAAACTAAATTCAACCACGAACTATTCTAGTTTTGCACCAAACCTCAAACACCGGTAGCAATACGGAAAATTTAGTATTGATGAAAAACCGCAGAAGGGTCAAATTGTCGAGTCGCTGCAGGTGATTGAGGGTTGTGTTTTGCCACCTGCACCACCGCACGCGTCTCCCGATTAAAAATTTATGGAGCGAGCGCTGCTGCATTTCTGCGGCGGGAATGCGGCTTCGTTGATTGACTCGCTCGTCGATTGAAAGCTCTCGTCGATTTATCGGGAGATTTGCACTCGACGGGCGGGATGAATATTTGCAGGACAACAGGTGGCAACGAAGTGGCTCTGCGGGGGGCTCGCTATACACTTTGACGAGGGAGCAAAGTTAGTTTTGCTTCTCGATGGTATATAAAGAAAGGCGCCTGAAAAGTCGCCCGTTTTTGCACTCTGGGAAAAATATAAAACTCGGCGCTTTTATCTCACAGCACGAGATCGAAAGCTGTCTCTGCCACTGACGAGAGAATTGCATTTTTTTTTCTCCACTTTAATCTGATTATGTCGGAATTTTTCGCATTGCTTCTTGGATCTCATTTTCACGCAGAGAGTGTCGCGAGGGTTGTTTGTTTCCGATCCTTGAAAAGTTGGCCGACGAAGCGTCTGTCTCTTGCACACACGCGACTTCGTCAAGGAGTTTTCCGGAAACACGGGCAAATCGTGCGTGCGCCGCAAGGCATCACACGAACTGAATCTAAAATACATTGAGGGGCCTTTCATAAAGGAAAAATTAACAAAATGCTTGTTTTTTTTTGCTAAATTCTGACTTTCGTTTATGATGTTCTGTCACTTCTTTCAGTAAAGAATATGAATACAATTTGGGATTTTTCTTGAGCTAAATAAATAGCAACAAAAGAGGGCTAAAATAAAATTTTGTTTGTAATTAATATAATTTAGTAATAATAATTGTGTCATTTGTTTTTTAAATGCAATAAAAATATTTTGTATTATATTAATATAATTATTTTTTTAAATTCAAATCATGAATGTAAACAATATGGATCTTTTAGGTTGATCAATGCGATTTATATACAATATTTATAAACAAACTTTGCAAATTTAGATGAATTTATTATCTGGGAATTTTTCCCTATAATTAAAGTAATTGAAATGTTTTGATTAAAATTATAAAAATGAGGTAGAAAAAATTTAATTTACTACAAAAAATTATATGTCATGTTGTTATTCTGTAAATTTGTGATACACAAAGAGAGTTTTTGGAAGTTTCATAATAAAAGAGCGATTATAAAATTCGTGCCATAGATTTTCTTCTTATTTTGATCTCCATGCGGTTAGGGAGAGCAAAAACTACAACTTAACTTTTTCAAAAGTATACGAGAACACACACTTAAATTAAATTAAGAATAGTTGATGCACGCCGCCGACAAGAACATACCTGTTTTAACAGTTGCAAGTTTGAAAATATTCTAAAAATCATTTTTTCCCCTCTTTTCCATTCTAAACATGAAAGATGATAATATGTGATGTGCTAATTAAAGCTCGCGGAGACAAACATACATTAGCAGTAAAATTCAGACTTGCAGAGCGCGAAATTCCGCCCCCGGCAGCTCCATTTTCGCGCGTTTCGGAAAAGCATCCGGTGCCTGCCCTGTTTGTAAGAGAGCTTCAAAGTGCACAAATAATAAACAGAGAGCTGCGATTGATGAGCTCCTCATACGAGTTGACAAGCTTGCTAAATTGCCCACCTCTCTCTCCCTTCTCTACTTCCAATTCCGGGTCGTACTCGCGGCGTCGAAACGCGCCGAATTAATTCAGCCGCCGCCGAGAATCGTTTAAGAGCAGAGATCATTAGGCGTCTCATCCGACTGCACCTGATTAGCGTCTCTGACTCGCGGGCAAACGCGTTTTCCGCGCTCGGCAATTGGCTGCTAACTCGATTTCCGACTCTGCCGCACTCTTTGACCTGCTCGTCAGATTGGATGTTTAATCACGCGGCGTTCATTAAGGAAAAGAAGGAACGGAAAATTCCCATCCCGGCGGAAATGTACTTTGTTTGTTTTTTCAATTTTTCCACAATATTTCAGAATTAGAATAACATAAGAGGGAGCTCGTGTCGCAAATGCCAAGACGCTGGCTTACTTTAAAAATCTCATTCCCGCTCTCCAGTTTTTATTTTATTTTTTATTTTCTCACCGCGAGAACGTCTCTCGCGAGCAAACAAGCCATTCTCTGTGCCGCCGCTGTCGTGTTTCTTTTATTTCGCTCTCTTCGTCTCTTTTTACTTTTCTTTTTGTCTCGCCGCGGCGTCCGTCCGTCCGGCCTCCGCCTCCGGGCTCGAGGGTGCAGAAACGAAGAAAGAATCCGCGCACACGGTGCCTTGTGACGTCACCCCGTGAATAATATGCTGATTTCGACAATGAAAAAGAGACTCACAGACTAAATTCACTTTGCATTCGTCACTCCCCTTCTTAAGAACAGCAAAATTCTAATTGCTTTCCAACGTAAACCATGCATTTTGTGGCACTGGGAAAAATCTGTTGGAATCGCAAGGAGCCCCTCCATAAAAAACGGGGTGTTAAAAAGAGTTCTTTTTAGACGCAAATAAGAGAGAGAAAAAAACTCATTTTTATGGAAAAATGAAAATAATGAAGTGCTTGGAGGAAATGTGCGAAGTTAAAGAAGGTTGGATTGAAAAGGATAAATGCGTTGATTTACTGTGGAAACTTTTAAAACGAATAACATTCAAAGTTGAATTGTCTTAATTTTTTCATAGAGATTCCATAACTTCACTAAAAAATTATTAAATTGTTAAGTGAATATATTTTTAGTTAAGGTAAAAGAGTCTACTGAATTTTCCAGGCTGTGATTTGGAGATTTTTTTGCGCGACAAATGCGGAAAAAGCAATTTTTCCGCGGAACACTTTTCATGCAAATGAGCGTGTGCAGCTGTAATAATCAATAACCAATAACGGGATTAAAAAACTTCGTTAATGATCAGCAGCCGAGTTCAAAAGAGAGATGAGCACCAAGAGGACCGTCTTTTCGCACCGAAGCCTTTTGTTTACTGAGGCAAAAGTTATTACACGCGCGCCCCTTGTGTGCTGTCGAAAATCGCTTTTTCGAAGTGAGAGGGAAATATTGTTTTTTGTTGACGAGGGAACTTCTTCCATAAACTTCCCACTTTCGCAAATGCTGCGAGTGGGGCTGTTCATCAACAAGTCAGGCGAATGGTTAATTGGTCTATATACCCGCGAAAAGTTTCTGATCTGATCAACTAAAATATGCAGCCTAAAATAATCCAATCAAAAATTTTGATTGATTTCCAACTAAATAAAATCGGTTAAAAGTTGAATGAAATTTTAAAATTTCAACTCACCTGAAGTTTCGACCACTGAATGCGTCCAATGCAGCGAGACGAGTTTCTCCAAGCGAGTTTGGCGCCGTACACGAGTTCCGTGTTTGTCAACTGATACGTGAGGGACTCGTCGACTTCCTTGCAAACTTGAGCCCACCGGGATTGGTGCGCCGCGCTGTTTAACCTGCAACAACAACCGCTAATTGACTTCCAATAATAACCCAAAACTAATTTGCGACGCAATTTTCTGGCCGCGAAAACGGATTCGAAATGGAGCAACTGCGTACATTATTTTGCTTAATCCGTTGTCCACTAAAATTAATTAAACGTTACAAGTTTGTTACTTCGGAGAGAAGCTTTGCAAGTTGAAGTTGTACAGTATTTCATCGCAGAGGCTTTTGGATGCATGAGCATGAGCCCTTTGCGTTCGTATTCATGCTAATTTATTCAAATCCAACTGCTATAACTGCTGCTCGCGACCGTAAAAACTTGTCGCTGACGATAAACGACCTGCACTGAATATCCAGTCCAAAATTATGCACGGCACGCGGCTGGATAAAGTAAAAAATAAATGTCGCAATTTCACGTTATAGCAGGCTCATTCAATATCTGAACTTATTTCCGCGATCCTAAACACGCACCTATAAAAATTTGTGATCTGTCCAAAATGCTTCAACGAATCTACGGACTGTGCGACTGTAATCAAAATATCGCATACGTACTGTTTTTTTCTTCTCATTTTATTTTCAATAAATCTTTAATTATGGTTGGGCTTGTGTCCATTAAGAATATGAAGAAGGCCAGCCAATAATCACTGTATTTAATTATTTAATTTTATACAAAATTTGATTTGTCACCTGGTTTATAAAAATGTCAACTCAAAAACAATTAATTTATTTTTAACTAGGTTAATTGTGGAAAAAAATTCGTAGAAAATAAATATTTAATGCAAAAATGATATTTATGACAAAATTAATAAAAAAAAACTACAAGTTTAAGTTTCAAATTATAACCTTTCATTCAACTAAGACCGTTTTAAGGCCCTTCATACAAGATAGGGAAAGGACGGAAGCATCCAGGAATCGCATTTGACAGAGTGGAAATTAAGTCTCATTGTCAAGCTAATATCTCAGCGGCGAGAGGGAATTATCATCTGTCAGCCGAGTTTCCAACAGATAACGAACGGGTGATCTGGATGCTGCAGCCCAAGATGAACAAACAAGCTGATTTTTTTGTGCTCAGTCAACGGGAACTCTGGATTTTTTTATTTTGTTTCCCGCAACTTTCCTTTTTGCATTCAAATTCGCGCGGCGAGAGGAACTGCGGTTCGTGTTTAAAAAGAAAAAGGACTTCATGACCGCTCTGTAGCGCAAAACTTTTCTCATGAATTATTTAAGTCGAAACAAAAAATTGCAGAACAAAAGAGCTCACGAAACACACACCTGCACACTCGCTCTGCAGTTAATTAGGACGTTATGCAAATCGGTGCGGTTTATTATTTGAACAAAGTTTTGGCAGTGATATTAATAAAAGGGTCGGGATACAACCCTGCCCTTTAACTTGCGGCCGCTCATATGAATTTATATTGTGACATTATGCAAGAGCGAGATTGCCCCTGAATATATATACCGGCCTGCATGAATTCTTGATAATTAATGCCAATTTATTCTACTTTGAGATAACTTTATTTGTCTAATTAAACTTCCATTTAAATTGAAACGCAGCCAAAGATTAAAAAATTGTAAATATTTAATTAAGTGATAAAAACTTCAACTTTTGCGTGGAAAAGCCTGAACACGGAAGGCCTTGGCAGGGCTTTTGAAAGCCACAAGGTGGCCGACTTATAATCACCCACGACACGGGTAGCTTTATGCTTTGTGCGATATTATACACGCGCTCTGCTCGCAATTAAGTGCATAATTCACGTGTCAAGGGAGCGATTTCATTACAAAATGATCTCTCCTGTTGCACTCTACTTACATACTCGCGCTTATTGTTTCCCGCCTGTAAGCAGTGGAATGACCTCCCTTTGCTTTTGACGGTTAATGATGTCCATGAAAGTAATTAATTATAAAACAACGTGTCAACTTTACCTGCGGATCGAGGCAAAGTATTGATCCATGAATTCTCTGGCAAGTCGCAGAACTTCCTCTTTGGTCCTTGGGTTGGTCGGCGAACGACCAGGGATGGACATTATGCTGCCCATGCATGTCTTCTCCGTGCATTGCGTCGGCTGCGAACAGAAAATTTTCATTTTGTAGGAGAAATTCAGTTTAGAGGTTTCAAAGTTATTGTTTAACCCTTCTGTAACATATTTTGAAAAATTGCAACACAAATCAATTTTTCCATTTTTTTACTTTGTTAATTTATATTAAATTTGCTCTTCAGATATGTATTAAATAAATTCAAAACTATATTACATAAAAAAAAATAAATAAATATTCAAAGTTGCATTTTATCAGCAAATTAATTTAATATATTTTCAAGAGTTTGATCGTAACCATTTTTGGTTGCTTTTAATAGGCGAACGTCTAAAAGCACATGTAACAACCTTATCAAGCGGACTATTTCTGTCCCCAAAATGAATACATTTAAAGGCTTAAACCCTTTCCGCACGTAACACGTGTGAGGAGGAAAAATTTCTTGCGTGCGCGGCTCCTATTTCAACAGAAGAATAAAGATGCATACGTTATAAACTTTTTCCGAAGAAAATCTTATACTCTCGACCCGACCGGTCACACAAGAGAGGAGGAAACGTAGCGGGGTTATTTATGCAAATTGAACGAAAGTGGCGCGCGCATTATCAAAGTTTTGTTAGGCAAATCGTTTTCCGCCCTACAATGCCGGTTAGTTTGCCACCGCTGACGTTTTCCAGCGCAAAACTTCTCTTATTCTCATTGAGATTTCCCGCCGCCGCCGCCGCAACTGTGCAAAATCCAAACGTGAATATTTCATTGGCTGCGCGTGTTTGGCGTCCGCTGAGCATCTCCGGCAAAAAGCAATAAAAAAGAAGCGGAAGCAGGTGCGTGTAACGCACACAACACAATGGAAAATAAAAAAAATTTCTTCCCTTTTCTCTGTTCTCAGAGAAAAATGAATTATTTTTGTCAATTTCATCAGGCTGCATTTTCATCGTCAAGCTTGAGTGACGCACAGTGGAAAAGACGAATCGCTCGACAAGCAGCAATAAAAATGGATTTTGCACCCTTTCATCGCGTCCATTCACAAAAAGGGAGGATTTGCCATCGATCCTGACGCCAAGCAGATTATATGAGACGTTTTGATTCAGCTTTACTGGTTGAGCGATAAGTAAAAAAAGCACACTGGCAAGCAAGCGATATTTTGTAAATATCCGTTAAATTAAAATAAAAATTAACTAAATTTAATAATCAATAATTTATATTTCAATTCTACATTTTCTAAATAATTTGTTCTGATTTCCTAATTACAACGAATTTTACAAAATAAATTTTTTGAAAGAACCATATTTTGAAAAATAATTAGATGAGTTTTAAGCGCTTTAATATCGTCGTTCACCCAACTTAAAATCAATAAATAGTTTTAATACTTTTATCTTCCTTCATTTTAAGGACTAAAACTAAAATAAATGTCATGGATTGATTTTAGCAAAAATTGACAATTCCGTGCACAAAATATATTATGTTTCCTCATTGTAAGTTTTAACAAATGATAGATTCTTGATTAAGTTACAATTTTCTGCAGCTATAAAGTATAAATTTTCCATCTTATTGTCAGTGAAATTGCTGAGCCACAGACAATTCCAATCCACGCACCTTCGCAAATCAAGTCTTGAATATCTTAAAGACGGAATAACCATCTATGTTATCGGCGAGAAAAACTTCGCAGCGCTTAATGAGATTTGTCGCCAGTGGAATGAAATTATATTGAATAAGAAGCGCAGTTATCGGTGGGCGGCGGTAATTTGTCACTCAAACAAGCAGTCCGTTTCTGCAAACTCGCCCTGAAGCACCCTCTCGACGTGTTTGCCTCGGCGCTGTGCGGAGTAAACATCTTCGGGAGCCTCTTAACACCGCCTCCTCTTTTGCGCACCCGTTGATACAAACGAGCAAAAGTTAATCAGATCACTTGGAAAGAGCGTCGAAAAGAATTTTTGGGGAGAAAAGTCAAAGTGATGTGCAAATATACGCCTGTATAGCACCTACATGAGTGTAGAGCATTTTCGATCCCACCACACAACCGTGTCACGCAAGTTGCACAAATTTTAAAGTAAACAAAAAATTAAAATCGTTCAATAGCTTTGAAAGGGAAGTAAATCAAATATAAAAAATTGATTTGCAATTTAAAAATACATGTTAAATTTTACATCATAAAGAAGTAATAAAAAAAGTAAATTAATTTTTCTGCCGTAAAAAATTTATTTTGTTTTAAATAACTTTGTGTTACTTTAATTAATTGTTTTAAAATATATGCAAATAATATTATTACTTGCTTGAAAATTGCAGAAGCAAAGAAAAAGAGAAAAATCTACTGATGATTTTGCCTTCATTGGTTGTGTTTAAATTTATTGATGGATGATTTATGTGCAATAATTATGGCTATGCTAGTATTTATAATGACGAGGGGAAATATTAATAAATATACAAATAATACCTTAAATACTTCATAGATATTATATTTTTGATATGCAGACTTGATAGATGCGTGCAATCTCAAATAAAGTTAAATCAGTAGCCTCAAAAAAATAATCCATTTTTTGTAAAAAAAAAAGCGGAAGCTATACGACAATGAGGTTTCATTTTTCGCTCACAAAATTTTGATTGCCTCAACGTGCGTGTTCATAGAATGGAAAATCACCTGCAGTCCCTGCTGTTGACACAGAGAGAGGCAAGTTGGTGGGTGCCAAAATTATTCATCAACGGCAGAAGTCTGTTGCAATTTCGTCCAAAAATTAAAAACTGAGCGCGGACAATAATATTTTGCCGTCATCCTATTTGGAAAAAAATGGAAAATACATTGTTCGGCCTCGGTAATCAATGGCGTGCTGTTATCCTTTCATTATATCAGACAACCGCGCCACGCTGCAATCGCGAGACGCGCACAATGAGATTTAAATTACTGATTAAATTTCATCTTTTCATGAGAAAAGCACTGGCGTAGGTGCTGTTTGCGACAGACAGCGGCTCACCCTGCATCTCAGGAAGGAAAAATTTAAAAAAGGATATAACGGGGTGCTCAGTATATATCATAGGCTTAAGCTCAAACCTAAACAAACAGAGAAGTTGCTTTTAAAAGATTTTCTCAAAATTTCTCTGAAACTTTGAAGTGGAAATTTTCAAATGTGGAACCGTTTCCCAGGATAATACAAATTCAACAGAGATACTAAAGAAATTCTCAGTTGACTCTCATAAAATCTTAAAATCAGGAAGTTTTTATTTTTAATTTACTTGGGTTTTCAGCTTTCTTTTGGGTTTAAAATCAAACATTTTATTTACAATACTTCACTGACAGATGTGATACTTTATTCACAACTCAAAACCGTCCAGTATTTTTTGTATTAATTTTTTTTTTTAAATTTATTTACATTATTTTGTTTATATGTAAGCTGCGGCAAGGTAATAGAGAAACCAATTAAATTAGAATTCATGAATTTCATCCTTATTACTTTTTTAGATTTTTAATAAAAAAATTGAAAGAAGAAATTATTTATTAACTTGCTAACTCACAATCTATATAGTTGCAAATTGTGTTTATTGATATATCACAAAGGCAATTGCTGCCCATAACGGGATACATCATTCATACATTCAAAATTCTATATATTTACAATTCAGATCATTTTTATAAATATAACATTTTTTACAAAACCTTGCATGATTTGAGGTCAATCAATAATTTTGTTTAAAAGCATAGCAGGGAAAATAGAGGATATCGACTAGAATTTGCACGTCTGCCAATATCACATGTTTTGTTGGGTGCGAAAAGCTTTTGTTTATTCGGTGAGCTTCTCTTTTACGAGCTGAAAAGCGGTCCTTTCACTGACCACTACTCGGAAAAGTTTCAACCAATATCATACGTCCATGCAAAGAGAGCAATTTCCCGGCGCCCAAACCCCAGCGGAGCAGAAAAATTCCAATCAGCAGCGCGACGAGACAGAAAATATTCATAAACACGCGAGAGCGTGCGCGCGTCTTTTCAGTGCGAAAGGCGATTTCGCGCTTTGAAAGGGTTGAAGGGGGTGAATTGCCGTGCAACTGCCGGACGCTTTATCTGAGAGCGGCTGAATCGCTCCAAATGATGCAGGCAAGGATGATCGCAGGACAAAAGAAAAATTAATACATTCAGAGCAGCCGAGGCGGCGGTTTTGAGAGAGGCCGCTTTAAAGCAGATACTCCTCTCTTTCTTCTTTGCTTCTTCTCCTTTTGATGCAAAAAAACACCTGCTAGTGCTCTCTACTCTCCGACCGAATGACTCAGTAGAATGAGAAGACGTTTTCATGCACGTCGTTGGCGCTCAACAAAAGCAGTCTGATGTAAAAATCGCCCTGATTTCTTCGAGAATTATTTTATAAATTGTGCGCTCTTCAAAAGGAAATTCAGTCAGCGTTTTTTTTTTTATATACATCCTCGCGCTGCATAATAAATAAATAAGAATTTTCCGGAATTTTCATTTCCGATGGGGTGGTGCGGAAACTTTGGAATTAAAAACACATTTTCGCGTGCGGTGAGTGTCTGATTTCAGGACGATTGTATTGGTGGAAAACAATGGCTCCTTGGTGAAATACCGTCTTTTCCAAGCACTTTCTCGGTCTGACAATGAAAGAAACAATGCCCGCGAGCTGTGCGCCGCGCGATGGGTATTATTAATCATCGCCCAAGCCACCCACCCAAACAAAGGAGGCGCCGCGCAAAACGAGAGCAAATCAATTTCCTGTCTACTTTCTGTCCCCTGGGCCCGATGATTTTTGCACCAGATATTTACCAAGAGTTGCAAATTAACCAGGGTCTTCTGCTGAGAAATGGCGCTATTAATTTTTTTGATTATCTTTTTATACATTAGCATTTGTTTGTAGATGTCGATTCCAATGAGACACGTTAGAAGAAAAATTTAATTCATTGGTATAACTGGATTTTTGAAAATTAACATTGTTTCTCATGGGAATTTGCTGTAAACAATTTTGCTCGTAGAATTTGCACAGTTTAAATTGATAAAAATTCACCAATGCACATCCGTATCACCCAAATTAATTTAGAA